CGCGCGGCCACGCCCCCCCAGGGCTGCCCCAGCCACGCTGCCGCTGGACCGAGGATTTCGGCTCAGCCCGGACCCCCTCACCCCTCTCCCCGGATCTGCCTCCCTCTGCTCCCAGGAGAGCCCCAGCTGAAGGTCTGAGCTGACAGCGCCTCGCTGCTCCACATTTTGGTTTTATAAGAGAAACCTAATTAAATTTGGCTGTCGGGCAATACGCTGCTGCAGGGGCACGCAGGCTGTGGGAACAGCGGGGCCGAGCGGCCAGGGCTTCCGGAGGGGAAGATGGCCAAGAATCCTCATTAAAGGGCAGCAAATGCTTCACAGATTCCTTCCCACCCTGCATTTTCTGTAGGATTTCGGCACTTACGTCTTGCTAAGTGCCTGCTTTACATACAACAGCCAAATGGGAAAGCAAGGAGCTGCTCTCCAAGCAGCCAAAAACCTCTGAGTGTGCCCTGGCAGGGGCGATGCTGCCTCCTGCAAGGGCAGAGGAGGACGAGCTCCTCTTCCCACTGCCCCTTCCCTTCTCAGATGCTCCTGGACAAGCACACGGGTCCATCTGCATCCTTTGGGGATGGCTTTATGAGTCACCATCCCCAGTCCTGCAGCCAGTTCGCTCCCAGCAACACCAGTGTCCTGACCTGCTTGGTTTGTGCCTGGTCTGTGGCAGCATCAAGCACTGCTCCCACCACCTCCATGGTGTGGTAACTGCTGGGTCGGACACCTCGAGAGCCGCTCATCCCCTCGGCTACAGAGATGAACGCTCAGAAAAACACAGAATTAACGCCACGGATAAGAGGTGCCGGAAGCAACGTCGCTGCCAGAGCTGCCCTCAGAGGCCAGACTGCAGAGAAACAATTATTTAGCAAACAACGGCAGCAAATTAAAGCAGCGGGTGGTGGGGAAGCAGGGCCCTGCAGACATTGCCACCGTCAGCACCCATGGCTCCGGCATGGCGGCTCCGCTGCCTCCTCCTCCCTCGGCACGCAGGGATGCTCGGTGGCCCCGAATCCTGGTAGGATGCAGGGGATGGAGACCGTGGATCTGGAGCAGATGGCCACAGTACTAAGAGTTGTTTAAACAGCGGAAAAGCTGGGACTAAAGATCCTGCAAGCAAATTTAGGGTGGTTTTGCCTTGTTTTCCTAAAGGTCAGTTTATAGGAGCAGGCTGCAGCGCTGGTTGGCAGTGCCACTGCTAAGGCAGCACCAGGGGTGGTTGGCAGCTCTGTGCAAGGATGTAACTATATCATGTAAGCTGTTCTGTACAAAATAAATTAAAAGAAATATGGTTTTTCATTGGTTGAAAGCTCCAGGGGTGCCCATTTGGTGCAAGAGCAGCACCAGGCTCCGTCGCATCGAAAGCAAACCCCTACGTGAGTGAAGCGGAGCGGCTGCGCTGTCAGAGGCGGCGATCGCAGCAGCATCCCTCCAAAAAACCTGGAAACATCCCTCCCCTTTCCTGCTCACAAACTGTAAGCCACATTTAACGTGCATTCCTG